AAAAAAAAAAAAAAAAATCCTTTTTTCTAAAGGAGAAAAGAAACTGAATATTAATTTTCCTTTTAATTCAAAGTATATATGTTATATCGTCCACCATATTGGGTATATGAAAGCGAACGGGAAAATAATATGAACTTTGCTCGATCAACGATACGTTATTTTTGTATTATTTATATGGAAATGTAGAGCACGTAAGTTAGAATGAATACAACCGAATATGATTAAGAAATAAAATAATATAAAATACTTATATTTTATTCTATTAAATGCATTGAACGCACGTGATTTTACGTCGCAAGGATTTTGACAAAGTCGAGTCCTGAATTTTATTTTTCATTTTTTAAAAATAAAGAATAATTGTATTTACACCATTTACTTAAGTTCTAATATTCATAATGGAATAACATATAATAGGCTTAACAACTATAAGGACTCAAAATTTTAATAAATTTGCAATTCACATAGTTTTTTACTCACAATTTTAGTGAATTTGCAATTCGGATAATTTTTTTAAGGCGAAAGTAGAAATTTCATTAACACAAACCGCTATGAGCTACGGACAAAATAAAGTGAGGAATACAATCAAACCGTCTTACAAGAAATAAAGCTGCAAGTGTCGCAATTTAATATCGGATAAATAGTTGCACTAGGAGCACAAAAAAATTGAACGAATGATTTCGCATGATTCGTTGTAAATCGCACTCGACCATCTCGATCCAGAACTCATTTTCTTTGGCGAAACTCGAGCCATCTTCAATGTTCACCAAGTCTATTAGCATCTCTTTGTCTCTCTTTTAAAAGAATGAATAATTTGTCCTTTCATATAGAACGAGGGATTATTCATACAATAAATTTTATATTTGTATTATCTTTTTCAAACATAGATACTAAAAATAGAATATTGATATTAATAGCGACATCAATGAAATAAAACAATAACTAGTCGTGTCATGACCATGCCTATATATATGACTTTTCCTTCCTTTACGGACTGATAAATATTCTTTCTAGCCGTCATCCTACATACATACAAGAAATTTTAAATCTTTATGTGTAAAAAGGTCTAGTTTCATGCTTTATTAGGCCTTTTTGACTAATTTTCTTTATTAAAGTTTTAAGTAATTTTATTGAGCATCACTGATATCAAACATTAATTTAGGTGAAATTATATGACATCAAATGATAGACACAATTCATTTAATTGAATAAATCGAGTAACGCTATTAGATAGTATTATTATATAGTTTTAAAATATTTTGATAAAAGTTGTTGAACTTCTGGTTAAAAAATTGATAAGGTATGGGTCATATGAATTATGTGGTCAAAATTGAAGTTTGATCG